ACTRTGATGGAGAATGCGTTATTTCTCTGCTTGCAATAAATTTCTGTGTCATCATTTCCTGGATTAAATTGGAAATCCTGCTGAATTTACACTCAAGCTTGCTGAAAGACATCTGTTCCTCGCAAACTCAAATTCAGAGCTTTTTTTTTTTTTTTTGTATTTACAGATAAGTTATGAAACCAGGCGTATGCCAGCTAGTTTTTCCTGTGTTAAAAATTACAAGTACTAGAATATATTTCTTTAAATGCTTGAAAATAAGGGACTTCACATATGATTAATAATAGAAACGAATTACCACAATCTGCTGTATGCATGCCCCAAACTCATCAGAATCCTGTTCGATCGAGCACATTGGAGTGTGTGTGGAGCTGTAGGAAGGAAAAATCGGAGCAGAAGTCCATGAGCTATTGTAATAGAAACCTCCTGGGCTCGTTAAACAGCATCTATATCAGTATCACAAATTCAGCATTTCAGCTCTTTCTGCACATGTAGCGTTTCTGACAAATGAAGAATATGTTAGCAGAGCTATTTTCAGTGACATTTTACTATCCTGTCAGAAAAGTTCAAGTTTCTGCAAGTTTTTTCCGAGACTATCGTCTCAAAATGAGATCTTCTTGTTTGCTACTGGAAATTGGAATCAGAGAGCTCCTCTGGGCTACCACAGAACCTTTTCAGTATGTTGAAAAGCTAAACATAAAGGACAAATAGCAAAAGGGAAAACCTGAATGACTGACAACAAATACAACCCTAATAATTAATCTGTTTGACGATAAATATTGACTATTTGATTTTATGCGTGACCTGTTTCCTAGGAATTTTACTTTTGTTTACCAATGTGAAGCAATCAAGCTTGGTCACAATACAAAGGTGATGGACAAAAGTGATCCGAATTAGGGATGATTAAGTAAACTGGAGAGAAGGAAGTATATTCTGGATAGATGTTACACAGATCTCAATTTGAGAAATGACAGAGAGAGCAAAGATTGGGGAATTTCAAAAGTTCTTACAAGTACTTATGGTTTTTTTTTTTAAGTGTATACCAGACATCCACCTTCTCATTGAAAAWGTTTTCACATTTCATTCAATTTACCTTAAAAAGAAAACCAGTGTAATTTTCCAAAAGGTTTTAAAGAATTTTAGAAAATGAAGTCCCTTTAAGTTGCTTTCAAAGCAGAACCCCAGACTGTGGCCACTTTGGAAAATCTTGACCATTCAGCACCAGTTTTGTTAACTTGCTGCTAACAGCCACACTAGGTGTGCAGCAACATGAAACACGCCTTACATGCTTCTCAGAGGAATACTCGCTCCTTTTAGGCACTTAGGTCACCTTTCCAGGGGGAAAAAACAGGCCCCTAAGCTAACCAGCAGAATGCACAGGCAAGATGGTGTGCCTTGGGATCTACACCCCTTCTGTCTCCTCTAGTTTTACATTATATAAATATATTTATACAGGTATGTGTGCGTGTGTATGCAAAATGCATATATATGCATATAAAATAAAAATACTTATTTCCTGACGTTTAAGAGTACTTAGTCCCCTGCAGGCTAACMAAAGCAACCACCTCTGGAAAGACAGAACTAGGAAATCAGTGGGATAAAACCCCTGACTTAAATGGATTTAAATGTGCAACTATCCATAGGATTCCATTACTGCTTGTTCATGAGCTATTAAAGAGAATGAATGAAGACACCTACCTGAAGAAGAAAACTGTCAATGCAATAGCTTCTTCTTTCTCTTTTTCCATCTTCAGAAGAAGCTTAAATTACTCAAATGTCCCAAAGTGGTGTCAATTCATGACAGCTGACAGCATTCTTGAAATAAACATTATTTTTTTCTTATTTTGTTATTTCACTGCCACTGCTTGATGAAATATWCACTGAATTCTGTTGAAATTTTTATTTGACTTTTGATAATGTCAGTTTGACAAATGAGTTCYTTGTTGTATACATGCCCCTGATGTCACACAAAGCTACCCTGGGCTAGGGCACAAAAAAGAATTTCCACTAGAACAAATGGAATACCCAAAGCAGACTGTGGACAGATACTAAGACAGTTGAGTTCTGGGATAAAACTTAGGACAGATCAATCTGCCATGTATGAAGCCAAACATCCTTCTGTGTTAGTTGTCCTAAGAATAAGAAAAAAAAACAAAACAATAATAACAAACAATTTAGACACTAAACTAAGCCATCACTAATCTATAACTAAGTTATGCTCCTTGGACAATCYCAAAAATTGTTCCTACCTATTAAAATTTTGGACATCTGCATTAGCTACCTATGAGAAGATAAACCATTATCCTTCCCTCTGATTTCCATGAGGTTACAATATAAATAATTGCATTAAGAGGAGTTGCAGGAATAAAAATTTGCCAATGCTTTTTTGTACCCCTCTGGTTTTCAATCTTCACTCACTGTTTCAACAGCATTTTTCCTTAATAGCTCCATCAGTATTAATTGTGCCTCAATATTTCACTATGTAAATATGTATTTAAAGACTTTAAAACACAGTCTCATCCGGTAATTAAAAATTTGAAAATATATAACTGTTAAATTTAGAATTGGCACCTAACTTGAAAATTAATACCACCTTTATTATAACCAAAAAAAGCTATCAAATTATGTCCAAATGACAAGAACATAATCTCTTTTGTTCACTGGCCAAATTTCTTTCTAAATAAATCAATCATGCTCACTATATGGACTTTGCTTTTTCATTATTCTATCATGCAAATTCATAGCCCAACCATCAATTTGGGCTAAAAAGAATACAATTACATTTTTAGTAAAGACCTCAATATCTGCAAGAATTTATAAGAATAAAACCAACAGAGTGAACAGATAACACTTAYAAGCAACCTGGTAAATATTTTATTGGGGTTTTCCTCAAGAATATTTTCTAATTAGGAAACCAAACTTCAAATCAGAAAAAGTTACAGCTGTTTCTTGCATATCTAACATTTCTCTAACAGTGAAACATTCTAGAACACAAGATTTCTAGCACTTTCATCACTGTATGTACTAAAATATTGCTAATTTATTCAGATGCTTTCATGCATAATTACTAGAAACACGAATCTGTTATTCTGCTAGTCTATCATCAGATAGGAAAAGCTATTCACTGAATACTTTGAAAAATATAYCTAATTGCAAATATTAAATTATTAACTGTACCATGAACACGCTATCTAAAGTACCGGTCTCATTTCCTTAATAGTTTGCTTTTTCTATTTAGGCTAACATTGGGAATGCAAAGCCTGATTTCAAGCTTTGCCTACGCAACAGATGACTTMTGGCATAGCAAGGTTTTCCAAGGATGTGACAACACATAAATTGTAACACAGCTGAAAAAGTGAAAGTCCTTCTTAAGGACATCCTTATATTGCAAACCTGTATTCTTCCTTCTAAAGGCTTGGTGGGGTTTTTTTCAACGTGGGAGAGAAGTRCTGCTAGGTTTATTGTGCTGGTACAAAGCATCCCTTTTCTGCTATTGCTGTATTGACTCAGGAAGCAAACAGAGTACACTTACTTCTGTGTCACCAAAGGACCCTCAGCTCTCATGTGGTTTGTCTCTTTTCTGAGTCAAATATCTGATAAATGCTGTACTCTCCAAATGTTCTGCTTTCTATCTCCCCCGTTTTGTTATCAGGCTTTTATTGTTTGATTTCAAGCCAAGGTCTTTGCCACTTGTAAGCAGCACATTTGCAAAAAAAAAAAAATAATAATATTATTAAGTTATGGGCGTGATCTGGTCATTATTAAATCAGCAGACACTGAATTAAATTCAATCTTCTATTCCAGAAGAAACTCACACCTGCATTGCAAATATTGTAACATGGAACACCACTTGTTAACAATATGTTTCTATTTATAGCAACAGGAAGAAATTAGAACTGTATCTATACAAATGATCAGAATATAATGGACAGATTCAATCAGGAATTGTTCCTATCCATAACATTGTGATTTCCAGTGCAGACCCATTATGAAGAGATACCTCTATTTCCTTTACAAGTTTCTCCCTTCCACTTTCTCTCATAGAATAAAAATGCCATTTGGAAGCTTGAAGCCAAAATATTTTTCTTGCCAAATGCTATTTTCCTTCATCATATGCTGAGAATGAATGGTTCTTCTTGAACATTCAGCTGCTAAAGAGAAAGAAAAAGTGCATATCAAATTTTCATTCTGTCCACATTTGACAAAGGTTCTTTTCCACATTAAGACTTAAAGGAAAATAAAGATGCTAAACCTCACAATATAGTTGCAGTCAGACTGATTTCTCTACCTGTGCAGATTCATGATACTCTTTTTAATGGATTTCTTGAGAATATGAGGCAAAGAAGAAATTATGCAGATGCAGAAAGACTGGAGTATACCATAGGGAAAATGTTAGAAGAATAATGAGAGTGGAGATCCTAGTGCAGTCATATTTTGAATAATTTGCCATGCCTGTTTTCAGTGACATCTCAGTCAACAACAGAATATGGGTCTGAACAGACTGCTCCACACGCTGCYGTGTCACCAGGGACTCTTGCCAGTGCTTAAAAGTAAATTACCCTGAATGAAAATATTTAAAGAAATCGTTGCAAAACTTCAAACCACTTTTTGGATGTCAAAGTTATTGGTAATATTATGGCTTGGTGAAATGAAAATGATCTAATGAAATAAAAATTATCTAATATAAAGCTACCTTGGTTAAAGGAGGATTTGGGGAATTTTCTTACCTGGCAACAGCACTTATTCAAAGTGTTTTAAGAAAATATRTTAAAACTATGTCAATTCCTTGTGCTATTTTTCTAAGAAAATTTTAAGCTTGTTACAACTAAAACTAGCTTTAAGAAAGCAGCTAAACCTTGGAAAGATGATCCTTTCTGCTTCTTAGCTGTGCATCCTTTCACGAAGATTTGCCCACTACTTTAGTCTGGATGTTTTTCAGTGACAATTGTGTCACGCAGAACTTTGGGGATTTATGTATACAAAACAGATTTTAGAGGCATGTAGTACTGCATGTGTTTTATTGAAGAATGAATGAGTGAATAAAACAGCCTTGTTAATAACTAAGCTGCTCTGGAAATAGCAGTCAATTTGAATCCCAGGTGTCAAAGCAAAGATTATAAAATGTGCTTAGAAGAACCTTGAAACTAATGGTATTTTTAATGTTTAGTTTTTAACCACATTCCGAAGTAGTGTGTGGGAGCTACAGGTCTTCTGAGTACCACTGTTAATTATTTTGTAAAAGAAAAGCAAAACAAATTTCAAGCACTGTTTATGGAAGGGAATTTAAGATCAAATAATGCATTGTACAAAACACCAAAGCATTCACTGTTGGTCAAACACTRTAGGGGAACATGATCCAACACAACACTGACACATGCTAAATGTTACATCCTAATAAATACACATATAAGCAAATAACAAAAATTATTTAAAGTAGCTGTCACCATATATCTAATAAATTTCTATTACATTGACTAAGATACAAAAATAATAGTAATAATAATCTTTAGAATAATATGTGTAGTAACAGTAGCAACAGTTACACTTGCCCACTATACAAATATCCACCCCATTGGTGAGAGACTGCAATTAAGGTCGTTGCCTGTCCTTACACAGCTCTAYAAATGCACGGCCGTTACATTAACACATCACGGATAATTGCTTTTACTGTAGTTACTTTAAAGTATCTGTTAACAAAACTCAGGAAATTGCCCAAGAAATGGCTTGGTTTGCACATATTTAATCTATTATATTACAGGAGCATCTTAAGCAAGGATGACGCTCTTACTCCTCTTGGCACTGTACAGGTAAGTGCAAGTTGATAATCTCCAGAACAACCGATACAACAAAGCACACTGAGTAGCTACTGTAAATTCTAGCTTCTTACATAAACTATCTGATGTATACCAAGTATGAACGGTTTGCATAGTGGCAGAGTAATAGTGCTTCACATGGGGATTTTCACACTATCCTTAAAATATGGGCAAATAATATTCAGACGGGCAGTCTGCTTTATAAGAATCCACAAACTTAATTCATATGCTGTTAACCAGATATTGCTCATACATTTAAATTACAGCAGGAGAAATACGCTATCAATTTACATTAATTGCAAAATGTACTGATTTACAAAACATTAATTGTACTTAATAGCCACTTTTTTTGTTTTTAAGGGTAAAAGCACATAAGTACATAAAAAAATCACTGCTATTAAACAAATCCAATTTAAAGCAATAGAAAATTAGTCTAAAGCAAATTGTGCTACTTGCTTTGTCTGAAAGCGCTAGAAGAAAAATGCTTTTGAATAATACTGATGCCCAAAATAGATTATATGTCTTCTGATACTTTAAAGACTGTTTTATATTTATGACCTCTTACCAAATGTATACATCTATGAGAAAACTGTCACTTTTCAAGGCAAAAGGAATTAGCCAGCAATTCATAACATTTGAGAGATGTTCAAGAGCTTCAAGTAACATTGACCATGGAAAAAGCTCCACAGATAAACTGATAAATATCAAGTCACATCACAATTTTACAGCTGGTGTATTTTTTTTGTCATTAAGAAACTATAAATAGATTAGAAAAAGTGCACTAATGATTGGCAGCCATTGGAAGGTTCTTGCTAACCTTTCTATATGTCGTCAGAATTGCATCTTAAATTATGCATTTTGAAAGGATTTTTTGCATGCTTTATCTATTTACAAGAAAATGCATTCCCAAGCAAGTAGTAGCAACATACCATACTGAAGTACACCTGTTAAATGCATTAAGATTAATGTAAAGTTCSATTGCTTGATGTACTACTGGATGTAGATCGCTACAGAACTTCACAAGTACYGAGATCTTAAAAAGGAAACAGCAATCTAATAAATGCTGTAGTGATGTACAAGCCTAGAGCTTGCCGGCCACATGATTGAGCTGCATTTAATTTAGTTCAGGACACATAAGTATGGTTCTTTATCATAAGCAATTCCACCCAGGTAAAATTTTCTTTAGCTTACCGATGTTACAATTTAATTTAATTTTTTWAAATTTGGTAGAGAAGACCTTATAAAAATTCTATTAGCTTGTACCTTCCCACGAAAGTGAACCCTAGCATCTGCCTTGACATTATCCAGGTGCTTTCAGAGAGCAGTCTGGGGGGTTTGTGCCAAGTCAAACTGCTCTTGTCAKTTAATTCTCAGTGTAATTAAGGTCAGTGTAATTATCCTAGCATATATCAYAAAATTGTCAAACAGTTATGCCTCTAAGCTACACATTTATATAAAAATTTTATTAATATTACTACTGCAGGGCTATTACTTCAGGGACTATAGTACTAGTCACATTATTAGATGTCCAAACTTYATCATTGAACAGCAAACACAAAGTTCATGTAAGACTGTTTATTGAATTTAACAGTTCAGATTGAGTTTCGATGGAGTTTAGATGCAGTTTGTATAAAAAATTCTGTCAAGTCACATAAACTGCAATCAAAAATACCTACAAAATAGTAAGACTTACTGAGATTGTACATTTCCTAACATGTAAAATTATACAGTATTTGTGCATGCTTGCTATTTGATTTGCTTCTGAAGAGCTGTTAAAAGGAGTTTGCTTGGTTTTTAAAATCTCAAGATAGTCGAAGAAATGTAATCATCGCATCTCAATTCAGATATACACGATCAAAACTGGCACAGAGAAACATTTTCTTCTCAGAAAGTTGAGGCAGCTTTTGTTGAATGGTGTCTGCATCAGTAAACGTTTCATAAACTCTGGTGGCTTTGSATCATCAGAGAGAATCCTTTTTTCCCTTTTGCAATGTCAAAAAAGAAATTTCCCGCAAGTGCAGACAGGTAAGGAGGAAAATAAGTAGCAGCTTGTTTCCTACATACAGCTGAACAGCATGCTCAGCTGTCCAGTGTCTCAAAACAAAAATGAACTTGACATCACAGGGAGGCATATGCCCCTCAAGTKACAAGCATGTCTGAGACTTTTCAGGGGAGATGGAAGCAAGCATGAGGGTAAAGCAYAAGTCTTCTTTTCATGCATAGGTACTTTGCACTGCCCTGCATCCGGGGCATTTCSTCAGACATCTGAGTTGGAGCTGACATTTGTTAACCTGGGGTCTGCATTGATCTCGTATCTGTAGTGGTAGCCCTCCATGTGATCCCTACAGGCATCTCTGATATTATGCATCCACTTTTTGATTCCTTTTCGGTTCAAGTACAAAACTAGGAGGAATATGGCCCCGATGAGAGCCAAGACTATCCCYAGGAAGACATACGAAGTCTGTAATTGGGAAGGCAGATCTATGGGCACGGAACAGTTGAGGTCCGAGCTGTTGATCTTCAGCAGGGCTTTGCCCAACATCTTGTCAGGAGAGGCACAGGTCAGGGCTTCTTTGCCCTCCACCTGGTCGCTCTCCTTGAGCCAGGCCACCAGGTCCTCGATGGCACAGTCACAGACCCAGGTGTTGTGGCCCAGGMCGATGTGCCGGAGCGCGGGCAGGCTACGGAACTGGACCAGGGTGCTGTTCCATAGCACACTCAGGGAGTTGTCGCTGAGGTTGAGGCTCTGCAGCTGGCCCAGCCCCTGGAAAGAGACATTTCGCAGGCCCACCAGGGAGTTGTTGCTGAGGTCCAGCTGCCGCAGGGCGGGCAGGGCAGTGAACATGCCGGCGGGCAGCAGCAGCAGCCCGTTGTCGGCCAGCTCCAGGCGGCTGAGGTTGCGCAGGGCCCCGGACTGCAGCAGGGCGGCCAGGCTGAGCAGGACGCCGTGGTCGCGCAGGGCCCCTCGGAGGGCCAGCTCCTCCAGCGGGCTGCCGCCCTCCCCGAAGGCCTGCGGGCTGAAGGAGACCAGCGGGTTGCCGCCGAGGTCCAGCTGCCGCAGGGCGGGCAGGGCGAGGGCTCCGGCCTCCACGTCCCGCAGGTGGTTACCGCTGAGGTTGAGGGAAGCGAGGTCGGGCAGGCGCTGGGCGGGGAAGGCGCCGGCCGGCAGGCGGGTCAGGGGGTTGCCGGTGATGAAGAGGCTGCGCACGTAGGGAGGCAGGTCGGGGGGCACCGCCGTCAGGTTCTTGTTCACGCACTTCACCGTCTTGGCCGGCTCCGAGCACTCGCAGAGGGCCGGGCAGCCGGCGGGCTGTGCCGAGCCGCAGCCCAGCAGGACGGGCAGCAGCAGCCCCAGGCAGAGCACGCCGCGCCCCGGCATCGCGCCCGGCCCGGCCCCGCACGCAACTTTTCCCTCCGGGCGCCTCCGGCTCCGGGCGGCGCGGCGAGGCGGGGGCCGGCTCCGGGCAGCCTTTTCTTCGGGCGCAGGCGTTTCCCCTCGGGGGCTGGCTCCGCTCCGCTTCCCGCAGCGAGACCTGCGCCAGGGGAGGAAAGGCAGACGGCAGCGGCGGGGCGGCGCGGCTCCGCTTGCCCGCGCCCACCCGCCCTCCCCGGCCCGCGTCTCGTCCCCAGCCCCCGATACGCGGCTCGCCCGGCTGGCTCCGGCCCCGCGACAGAGCGGCAGAACACGCGGAGGAACAAGTTTTCGCCCACTTCCAGCTCACGCCACGCTCCCACCCGGCCGTCGACTCCACCGGCGTAGCACGGAGGGGAAGAGGAGGGTCTAACCCGCCGCCACCCACCGTGTCCCGCGGCTCCCCACCTGCCGTCCCTGCCCCGGGGCTCTTCCCCTCCTCTCCGCGCCGCTGCCGCTACGAACTCCCGCCCCCAAAACCCACCGCGGAGCGCAGCGGGGCCGAGCACGGTCCCGGATCCCGTCCCTCACCTCCCGCCCCGCGGGCTGAACAAACTCCGCCGGAGCTCGCCGCCGACTGCCCCCAGCCCTGCCGCCAACTCCGCGCCCACCCTCGCCGCGCCTGGCCCTGCCTCCGCTGGCAGGAGAAACCAAGCGCCGCCCGGCCAGGGGGAGCCGCCGCCCGCGCCCCGCCCGGCTCCCGCCCGC